TTGTAGATTCGACTACCGTACGATATCCGGAGAATTTTTAAAGTTAGCATGTTATCGAAATTCTCGAAATACTAATTTTAAACATCTTACTTTGACAAGTCGTAACATTTAATACGATTGATTGTTTCGTATGCTGTTAACGACATAAAAAATTAGACTGTGAGCACTTTGAAATGGTATTAAGAATGCAATATTTCAATTTTGTTTCACATCTTATAATGATTTCGAAAAATTGAAACAAAACATAGAAAAAAAGAAGAAAAAACCACTGATGACAAGGGTCAAGGTCATATAATAACGAGGATCATGACTAGGGTGAATAAAGTGTCATACAATTTGTACTCCTCGTCTCTCTAAAACGTAGAAGGCTTTTTGTTTTACACCCTTAGTTAAAGGTCAGATTGAGCCTCCTAAGTATGCACTATACTTTTATCTTTATTATTAAAACATTCCTCTATGACATGCTTACTTGAGCGCTTGAGTGAGCTCGATTCTCCTCGTTATGGCTGTAGACTCAACTACTTATTGGATCTCGTTTTGCAGAGATATTCTGATATTTATTAAAAAAAAAAAATAGGGTTAAACCAGAACAAACCATAGTACAACAACTTGGACATTTTTTTATTTTTATTTTAATCAGGAACTTTAATGATTATGAACTTCAATGGTTAAGGTCTTTATATGATGTGATACACAAAGGCTATAAATACCAAGGCGGTTCTGAAATCAAAACATCCAAATCAACAAATCTCTCTCTCTCTCCCCTAAATGCTAAAACAAACACAAATTACAGCAGTAAGAACTACATTTGCACATCCACTTTCCTTTCATGGCCTACATACAAAGTATCTCGATTTTGCTGTTCCTTCTTGCTGGTTTTTTCTGCCTTCAACTTTCACTAACCGAAGCAAGGCAACTTAAATCGCTCAATAAACAAGAAAAACACGACTTCCCAGCTACTTTTCCTGCCAATTCTTCTCCTCAAATTGTAGGACGAAAGCACGTTCCCTGGCCAACGAATCAAAAACAAGAAATCGTCAGTTCGGATGCAAGGGGTGTAAATGATTTTCGACCTACAGCACCAGGAAATAGTCCTGGAATTGGTCACTCTTTTCCATCCGAAAAGGACAACGTTCACGCAAAGACTGATGATTTTCGACCCACAGGTCCCGGTCACAGTCCCGGTATTGGTCATTCTTTTGCAAACAAGACCAAAGGACCAAATGCATAAACATTCACATGCATAAGTAGATTTATAGCTTGTAATTATAATGGATTTCTATTAGTAGCGGTTGCTGCCTACTGGTGCATTATTAACTATTTTCGATATTCCTTTCAAATAGTTTCGTGAGCTTCATTTCAGGTGATTCTGTTCTATGTATAATGTAGAAACCGTGTTATAGCCAATTTGTCTATATATCTAAATGAATTTTTTATGCACGCTCTCTCTATTTATTATGTTACAAGTTTCCATGCATACGTACACATTTGCTTCTGTCCGCACGTTATTGTGTTAATTAGTTGACTCATGCTATATGTACAATATTGGTTGAAAACATTAATTGACAACATCCTATTTGTTATAATCTTATCCATCCATTTCAAAAAACTATTTTCTACAACACATTATAGGATTTTGACAATACATGGTTGTCAACCAATGTTGTACACTTAGATTTATTCTAATTAGTTAACCAATAATGATGAACAAACATGGAAAAAAAGACTAATGTCGCAGCCCATGATTGAGTGTTTTTATAATTTTTTTCCATTCTCCAATGAAAAATTATCAAGTGTACTCTAGAAATGCTTTTCCCTGGCCATGTAGCATGATTGTAGCTAATTAATCCCTGTGGACTCACTATATTCAAGATCTAATGGAGGGCAATAGAAATGGGTCATCTATGTAAAAGAATGGACCTCCGTGTCGCCACCAGTTCATAAATGATTTAAAAATTCAATCGAAGGTAAACATTAGTTTCAACAACACATTCATAATTATTACTAATTTTATCAACAGATTAATTTCTTGAAATCTACTACTATTCTTCTTTATAAATTAATTTATAAATTTGTCGAATGGAGGCTTAGTCTTGATAAAATAAAGGGAAAATCCATTTGTACACTTTTATATACATTAATTTTGACACTCCTCTCACAAAAGAGGGTGGGGCCCATGATTTTTAAAATTGCATGCCCCCACCTTTGTGAGAGGAAT